TTACAAAAGAAAGAGGTTTAATGAATTTACAGTTCCATGTGGCTGGAGAAGCCTCACAATCATGGTGGAAGGCAAGGAGGAGCAAGTCACGTCTTACATGGATGGCAGCAGGCAAAGAGAGAGCTTGTGCAAGGAAACTCTCATTTTTAAAACCACTAGATCTCATAAAACTCATTCACTATCACGAGAACGGCACAGGCAAGACCTGCCCCCATAATTCAGTCACCTCCCACCAAGTCCCTCCCATGACACTTGGGAATTGTGGGAGTTACAATTCAAAATGAGAATTGGGTGGGGACACAGCCAAACTGTATCGGAAGGTTTTTGTCCTCATCTGCAACAGTGGCCCTTTAGCCACTCAAAAACTGTCTACCCTTCCATTGTGATCTAGTATCCTCATTCCAACTCAATCCAGCTCTTTTCCACTTAGGAGCCTATGCATTGACCAAGAGGTTATAGAAGACTCAGGTAGAAGCCCTTACTTTCCTTTGTCCAGTCTCCAAAATTTATTTTTATGTCAAATAGCCTACAGGGGACCAAAGGCTAATGATGATTAAACAGCCTTCAGTTATGGAAGAAGGAACTATGAGAAGGGGCCAGCTGCCTAGTGATGACTTTCTGGGCTCATCAAAGCCTATTTTCTGGAAGGCAGGATAGGTCATGCCTTTCAATTACGATGCATGTGGTATGAGGATAGGGGGAAAGCAAATACACAAACAAAAGAATCATAAATAATTTGTCTCAGAAGACAGAACACCAAGTAACAAAGATGATTTCCCACATTGTCATAAATTGAAGGAGAATATGGAAAGCTTCCACTCTTGGTCTCCTGAGGCAGTAGAGGGCTTGGCTTTCATAAAATAAAACATAACCAGTTACCATAGATACATTGGGGTGAAAAATGCTTCTCATATTCAAAAAAGTTCCAGACAAGTTTTAAATCTTAGAATGCACCTGAAACATTCTGGAAATTGTCTTTATTTCTAATTGAGCCTTCCCAAACACACTTGACATCCCAGTGGCTTCAGTGTCCTTACAACAAAATGACATTCACCATCCTCTGCATTTAATTTTGAGAACTGAGACCACCTGCATCTGCACAGCTTATCAAGATTGAGATCTGGAGCCACTGTGTCAACATGACTTTCCTATTCCAAGAAATTCTTGGCCAGGAAGATAAAGCTGTAAACCAATAAATAACTTCACTACAGGCTCCAGGAATTTCCTAAAAGCCAATAGATTTGAACAAACAGTTTGCTCATCTGGGTAAAGAGCTCTGCTCTAGGAACAATGAGTTGTTCACTTGATCAAACAGCTAATTTATCAAACTACTGTTTACTAACCCAAAATTCCTTCAAGAGTCATGTCTTGCTGTGTCCATCAAACCAAAAATATTACATCATGAACTTGACCCAATTCCAGTTAAATGTGTGCATGGAAAGACCCATGTTAAAGCACTCTGTCGCAGAGCCCAAACTCCAGCAAATTTCTACCCCTGACCCCTCCTTTCTGAAACACTGCTAAGACCCTGTCAAGGCGATGTCCTCCCTTACTGCAGTAGGTTTAATAAATTTTGCTGTTTGAATAGCAGGTTATTTTAGCTGTCTTTTGAGGAGTTTATAGTCCATCCTTCCTGTCTTTATCAAACTGTGAACTTCAATTTCCCCACTATCCCAATAACTAAACAGATAAATGCCAGTCATCATGGTGAGAATACAGAAGGGCAAGCTACTGAGAAAATGTATAGAAAACTTACTATACCTTTAGGCATTTCAAACTAGCTTATCCAAAACAAATAAAACTGTAGTGTTATCTATAAACAAAAAAAGAGATGTTGTCATATATATGTATAGTCATGAATCATCCAATACCTTTTTGTTTTAATTAAAAAAATAATTGAAACAAGATCTCACTCTGTTGCCCGTACCACTGGAGTGTAGTGATTTGATCATGGCTCACTGCAGCCTTGAACTCTCAGTCTCGAGTTATCCTCTCACTTCAGCCTCACAAGTAGTTGGGGCTACAGACTACAGGTGTGTGCTACTTCACCTGGTTATTTTAATTTTTTTATTTTTGTAAAGACAGGGTCTCACTATGTTGCCCAGGCGGGTCTCGAACTCCTGGCCTTAAAAGATACTCCTGCCTTGGCCTCTCAAAATGCTGAGATTGCAGGCGTGAGCCACCACTTCTGGGCCAAATATCTTTAAAATACTATAGTCAGATTGTCTGAGTCACAGATCAGATTTTTCTAGTAAGAAGTAATAATATCTGAAGAGACAGAGAAGAGAGATATTTCAAGTACAATTTTGTAACACACATTTTGTTGTTCCAAATAGCTCCTCAACCCTCATTCCTATCCCCCTCAATTCCTTTCCTTCCTCTCTTTCTAAATGACCCTTCAGGTCAAATAAATCAGGTCCAATAATGCTGTTTGTATAATTTTGCAATGTTGAAATTCCCATGCAGGCTCAGTTTTATCAGCCTGAAAATTTTCTTCCTGTCTTCCTTTCTTCCCTTCTTCCGTCCTTTGTTTGATTTGCCTCTTCTGTTGCTTGCAATATATAAGTAGTTCTAATTATGCTATATTATTCTGTATTATTCTATGTTAATTATTACATGGAAATGTCTAAAATATACAGCATTATAAATAGTACATTAAAACTGTTTGAAAACATTTGAAAAATTTTCTGTTCATTTATATTTATGCCACTTGGCCTCACCATCCACTATCACCTGCCAGCCTGGTAGTCACGTGCTCTGTGTCTTTTTAAAAGTTTTTATTTATTATTGACTGATTATTTATTTACATCTAACCCAAACTATATAATTAACTATTTTATAAAACTGTGGTTACCCACAAGAATAACTAACAAAAATATAAGTGTTACAATTTTTGTTTGCTTGTTGTGTTTTAAAATGTAGTTTTTATTATTATTCAGGTATGGTGAGGCCAACAGATAACGAGATGATTGTCATTGAAAATACAGTTTGTTACAGTGTCTCATGGGGTGCAGGACATGTTATTGTCACTCAGAGCCACACAGGAAAGCACCAGGACTGGTCAAGAGGCAGGATGAGTGAAGTGAGGGGAAAGCGTGGCAGGAGCCCCTGTTGTGGTATCCACGGGAAAGGCAAGGCAGGGCTCAGCAGGCTTAGGATTGGCTAGTTTGAGCAATATCAGAAGACCCCAGGGGAGAGTAACTGTCTCTAATTGTCTAATACCTGGCCCTAGAATGATAAGAATAGAATTACATTGCCACCTAGAGTAGAAAAGCCAGATGGAAGAGGTGGTTCAGAGTATGGGAACTGGATGTTTCATTTACATATGAAAGTTTACTATGTTTAAGAATTGGCTAGCTCTGGGAGGGGAAGTCACTCAGTGAGGCCTCAGGAGCATCAAGAATACAGAAAATTAGAAAACGTAATTAACACATAATACATGTGTTTTGTGGAGTTATAAGTTGCATAAAGTAAAATAAATAAGTCTTAAGTGTACAGCATAATAAATTATTTATATTTGTATATACCCACGGAATCACCTCCCAGATCAATGTGCAAGCATCACCATAACTTTAGAAGCTCTCACTGGCTCCTTTTCCTGTTAAACCTGCCCCTCCCAGCAAGGCTGGCATTATTGTGACTTCTCCCACTGGCCTAGATTTGCCTGATTTTAAACTTCATAATGGAAGTACACATTATGAATGTACTCATTTCTCTTTGGTGTATATCTAGGAAAAAATTTGCTGAATCATAGAGTTGGGGAATCTGTAATTTTGGTGGATACTGCTAAACATTTTTCAAAGTAGTTAAAACATTTAACTATCTCACCAACAATGTACAAGAATTTCCATTATTCTACATTCTTGCCAACATTTGTAATTGATAGTCTTAATTTAACTATGCTGGTAGTGGGGTACTTGTTTCTAACTATGGTTTTAATTTCCATTACCTTGCTGAGCAATGATGTTGAACACCTTTACATGTGTTTGCTCTAAGTACACTTTGTTGTTACATACACCTCCCAAGACTTTTCCTATTTTTAAATAGAGTTCTCTGTATTTTTCTTATGTGATTTGGAGAAATGTTTAAATCTATTCTGGATGTGAGACCTCTGTTGGATAAATATTTTGAAAATACTTTCTCCCATACTGTGGTTTGCCTTTTGCCTTTCTTAATGAGGTCTTTTGATAAGCAGACCAATTTACCATTGTTTATTTTATTGTTCATGTTTTGTGAAAACTGTTAAGACATTTTCATGAACCTTTCAAACGTTATGAAAATATTCTCCTGTTTTCTCTTAAAATCTTTATTGTTTTAGTTTTTAGCTATAGGTCTATCCTGCACATTGAATTAATTTGTGTGAATGATGTGAGATAAAATTATCCATATCACCGAAACTTCCTGGATTACATTTGCCATGCAGATGAACAATCCCTTCTTCAACTAATGTACTGAAAGTAGAAAGGTTGTAAACCTCTTGATGTCATTATAGCTTAGCTGTAATGATTAGTGGAAGCCAGATTTTAGAATTTTATAATCATAATTGATACGTGCAATTCAGGACAAATACAACAAATACACTTATAAAAATGAAGCCAACACAATCTTGACTTCTTAGGATTCACATAAGCCGGGACATCTAAACTACAAAGCATAAGCTTTGCTCTTTCTTAAAAGTTATTTTGGAGTTCCTTAATATAGATGTCTACATTAGGTAAAAGTTTTATTTTATTTTGTTTTACAGTTTTTGATTATAAAGTGTTATGCAAACCCCAAAAATCGATCAATTTTCCTTGACATAGTTAACAATGATGTATCTCATTCATTTTAAACTATCTAGGCCAAAATAGTCACACAAAGGTTCCCACTAAATGTAATGAGACAAACTTTGGAAAATCTATCTAATTGCAATTTAGCATTTAAGAAAACTATGAAGGTAAGAGTACACTAATGAAAAAAGGGAATGCAAAGTTTTTTTCATTAGAGAACTTAAGACTTACCTAGTCACTTGAACTGGAAGGTGAGTCCTATGGTAAGTAAGTTCTGTCTGAAATCCACAGGTACATAGTGACTTCTGAATTCTGTTATAAACCAGAATCTTTGACTAGCACTAAATGTGGTCGGTGAGAAAAATATAACAGCCTCAAAAGAAACTGTAGTGTAGCTGTTTTCTCATTATCTTTCATTTTTTCATATATATATATATTATATATATATACAGAGAGAGAGATTGATTGCTAATTTTTATTCTAGAAGTATAATTTTGAACAGCAAAGTCATGGTCCTAGTTTTCTTGAAGCTTCTGTTGTAATATGGTAAGTAGGTCAAAACATAGACCAGAGGAAAAACAATTGCTAGTTATAATTACCAGAATGAAAGCGAGAAAATGCTGACAGTGAAAATAGAACCCAGATAGACCTTTAAACGATGATCAAGGGGAGCCTCAGCAAGGAAATATAAAGTGTCCAGGGAAAAGTTAAGTAGCCCTGAAAAACATCCATGTCATCTCACATACAAATTATTTACTGAGTAAAGCTAGAGAGCAAATGAACACGAGGAAGGTGTATTGGTTAACTTGCTTATTCATCTGACTTTGAAAATGGAGGAGCGAAGAAGAGATACTGACAGATTCCTAGAACACTGTGAAGAAAGGACCAAGGTGACCTTAGTCAGTGGTTCTCGGCAGTAGATCCGTGAAAGCCAGTATCGTCAAGTCCTCTAAGCCCACTTGTGCCTACTAACATTAATGTATAAAATATAATTCATTCCTAGTGGGCAACAGAGTCCCAGCCCACAGCCTGAAAAAAAAAAAAAAAAAATATCCCGGGATCCAGAGAGAAAGTTTGGCCTTGCAGACTTTGATCTGGTTGACCTGGAGTCATGGGACATAAAGTATTCCAACTTTATTCTCTCCAGCTGAAGTTTATTCTAGCCTTTGCCACTGATGTGGTTTATTATTTTTAATGGTGTTCCATGCAAGAACACAACATATTCCTCAAACAGACAGAGCTTTGGTTTGCTCCACAAAATAATTCCTCTTTCTCTAGTGGTTCTGAAATATTCTCAGCTAATATAAAAAGCATTTTAATATTTGGCATTCTGCATTGTTATCTAAACAGTTTCTATTTGCAGTGTATGGGCATCTTCCTCTGGCACAGAAACATCACTTTTTTCTTTCTCTTTTATTAGGTCCAAGGTAGAAAAAGAAACAATTCTAAGAAATGTTTTTTTATCTCCTTCAGTTCTTTTTCTGTGAATATTTTGAGCTTCTTCTCTCACAATTAAATAGAAAAAAAACAGCACAGACATTTTCTCTGAAGGCTCTGGATTCATTTCACCAAGTATACTCTGAACTTGAAAAGTTTCAGAATGTTGACATTTATAAATTAGGATTTCTGGCAACCAGATCTTGTGCCCCTGTAATAAAAACACAACTAAACTTTTTATAGAACCTGCTTGGCAAGATGACATCTTGTTGTCCAATATGTAGCTATAACAGACAGGAAGAATGCTAGATGATTTTTCCTGTTTCCTTCTTCAAAGGTTAAAATTAGAAGAAACACCACTAGATAGATACTGTTCTTTTAGAAATGATATGCTCATCAAAGACTTGAAATTATTCCCGGAGAATGAAAAACAAGTGTCTCAGAGAATGCAAGAGGAAACACTGCAAAATAGGTTTGTAAAAGTTAAGCCAGAATGTTGAAGCTTCTCCTGATTGGAGGATGGATGGATGGATAGAAAGACAGACAGATAGATAGAAAAATAGATGATTAGATAGATAGATAGATAGATAGATAGATAGATAGATAGATAGACAGACAGACAATAGATAGGCAGATCTTTATATCTATAGATATCTATAAATCTCTATATCAATAGATAGATACATAGATACAGTTATGAGCATAACTCTGTTCTTCCCCAAAATTCATATATTGAAGTCCTAACCCCTAGTACCACACAATATGACTGTATTTGGAGATAGGGCCTTTAAAGTGGTAATTGAGGTTAGATGAGGTCATTGAAGTGAACCCTAATCCAATGGTTGGTTTCTTTATAACAAGAAAGATTAGAACACAGACTAGCACAGACAAAAAACTATGTAAAGACACGGAGAAGACAACTACCTACAAGCAAAGGGAAGAGGTCTCAGAGGAAAATGACCTTGTTGATACTTTGATCTCAGACTTCTAGCCTCCAAAGCTGTGAGAAAATAAATTTCTCTGGGGTAAGTCACCAGTATTTTTCATGGCAGCCCTAGCAAACTTATATGTGTATGTGTTTGTGTGCACTGCATGTGTCCAACACAAATGCAACCTACATGATATCTACAAATACCATCATTTTTTATGGTGGTGTTAGATGTGCAAAGCTCATGGGAGATGACAATTATGCTGATGACAATCTCTGTTACCTACAGCATATCTGGCTACTACTATGAAATTCTGAATACATGTATTTTTAAATAATCCTTTTGTAATGCTTCAGTTACTATTATTTTGCAACAAACTACTCTCACACTTAATGTCATAACCATTTTGTTTATGAATTCTGCAGGTCACAAATTCAGATAGGGGCTATGGTTTGAATATTTGTCCTCTCCAAAACTCATGTTCAAACTTAATCCCCAATATGGTTGTCTTGAGAGTCTAAGAGAAGTCTTTAATAGGTGTTTGACTCATGCCAGCTCTGCCCTCATGAATGGATTAATCCATTGTTGGATTAATGGGTTATCATGGGAGTGGGACTTGTGGCTTTATAAGAAAAGGAAGAGAGACCTCAGCTGCATGCTTAGCCTCCTTGCCATGTGATACCCTGTGTCACCTCAAGACTCTACCAGCAAGCAGGGTCTCAACACAAACACTTCCTTGCCTTAGATTTCCCAGGCTCCATAACTATAAGAAATAATTTCTTTTTCTTTACAAACTACCCAGTTCTAATTATTATGCCATAAGCAATAGAAAACAGATGAAGATAACAGGGAACAGCAGGAATGGTTTGTCTCTGTTTTCCTAGCCTCGGTTAGGATAAATAAAATAGCTAGAGATGACTCCAAGAGGTAGGAACTAGAATAGCTGAGACTGAAAGATCCACTTCCAAGATGAGTTCACCAAAATATCAGGCATCTCACTGAGATGGACATGAAGGCTGGTCTCAGCTGCGAATGTTAACAGGTGCTAATATGTGCAACCTTTTCATGTGGTACAGACTAATCACAGCATGACACATGGTTTCCACAAGACAGCCACCTAAAAGGGAATGTTCCAAGAGAATCTGACAGAAGCTGCCATGCCCTTTCCTCAGAAGCTACAATAACTCCAAGTTTTAAGGGGAGAGACATAATCAGCACCTATTGAGGGAAGAGTGTCAAATAATTTTGTAGCATATTTCAAAACCACATTTTACTCTCTGCCCACAAAGTATTAACATTCTTTCCACATGAAAAATACACTCACTCTCTCAATAGTGCTTAAAAGGATCATCCCATTATAGTATCAGTCTTAGACTCAAAGTCAGAATGTTGTCATTCAATCAAGATTTAAATAATATTCATCAGGCATGATTCCTCTTAATCAAAAAGTTGGTGAACTAAAGAGACCAGCTATCTACCACTATATTAGTACATTTTCTCACTTCTATAAAGAACTACCAGAGACTGGGTAGTTTATAAAGAAGAGAGGTATAATTGGCTCACAGTTCCACAGGCCATACAGGAAGCATGGCTGGGGAGACCTCAGGAAACTTAAAATCATGATGGAAGGCAAGGGGGAAGCAGCACGTCTTCACATGTGCAGAGCAGAGGAAGATAGTGGGCACGGGGTGAGGGGGAGATAGGAGGTGCCACACACTTTTAAACAACCAGATCTCATGAGAACTCTATCTTGAGACAGCACTAGGGGGATAGTGCTAAACCATTAGAAACCACCCCCATGATCCAATCACCTGCCATCAGCCCCTTCCTCCAACATCAGGATTACAATTCGACATGAGATTTTGGGCAGGGACAGAGAGCCAAACCGTATTCACCACCCAACCATCCACTGTACCTGGAGGTATGTGCATAGGATAAACATTATAGACATTCTTGGTATAAATGGTTAATGGAAGGCACATAGGTATCCTTGGATCACAATAATTCAAAAATTCAGGTGGTACATATTGCCAGGTTCTAGGTTATATTTCTATCCTAATTTATGAGAATTGTTCTACACTGATTTTAGCTCCAACCTCTAGACTCTGGATTCTTCATTTTAGGCACCCTTCCTTTTCCATAAAAATTACACTATGTTTGCTGAGTGCTTTTTTTAGTCTCCTCCCTGTATGAAGGAATATGGGATCCAAGAGGCTATTGTTTTGTTTTGTCTGAACAAAACTGAAATATGGGATCCAAGAGGCTATTGTTTTGTTTTGTCTCTCTCACTATCAGTCCAAGCTAATGATATTTCTACCTATACAGTCATTTTAAAAACTTTGTCAGTTTCTTATATTCTTCAATTTATAATTCATTCCATTGCATAGGGCTCACACCCCCAAATCTCATTATAAGATGTTATGTACCTGGGATCTGGTGTAAGGCTGCTGTGAAACAATGCCCTTAAGACTCCTGGAAGTCTTACTGTTAAACAGAGAGGGTCTTTGAGGAGTATGCATAAAAATGGCTTCTTGGCTGAGAAGAACCATGAAGCACCATCTGTAAACATTTCTGCGACTAACAAAAGGTTTTATAGTCCCACGTTTTATTTCTTCTTTATCCTAAGACCATATTTTCCTGGAAGTGTCCTGGACTCATTTTATCTTTCCTGTGACAGACGGAGGGTGATAAAGAGCTTTACTTTCAAACACAAAGTTTTGAATGTTTTGTGGTTCCTCTAAATACTACTTGAAAACTGAATGATTCATTTTTCTTTTTCACCTAATTTCTCTCTATCCTGTCTTATGATTTATAGGTAGAGGAAACCAGCAACCCCTTTTAACATTTAGTTCTGGAAATATCTTTAGCCCAACCATCATTTCCTTAAGTATATTTTCTAGTTTTTGAATTTCCACTAATGTCAATATCAAAAATTTTCCACTGCTACATAATGAGGGTCTCATTCCCTCTGAGTTCCCATAACGTTTTGCTCACTCCTTTTTAAGTCCACATTAACAGGGCTCTTGGGGCTTGACAGATTGCCCGCAAATTCCTCAAGACCTTCCAGCTTTCAACCAACACCAAGTCACATGTTTTAGGTTTTGTTACATGGTACCCCACTTCTGATACCAAATTTTGCTCCACTTGCTATTTTTGCCTTAATGACAATCTCAAAACATAGTGGACGAAAATAACAATGATTTTATTATGCTTACAGATGCTGAGGGTCAGTGATTCAGGAAGGGCA